GCTCAAGGCTAGCGCTCTACCACTTGAGCCACAGCGCCACTTCCGGCTTTTTTCTTTTTGCTTATGTGGTGCTGAGGAATCGAACCCAGGGCCTCAAACATGCAAGGCAAGCACTCTACCACTGAGCCACCTTCCCAGCCCTCTCACACAAGTTTTTGTTGAAGTGTAAGGACCAGCTGTTTTCTAGAATAAATAATGAAGTCAGGCCTCTAGGGTCTAACAAACAGTACATTCTTTGAGCATCAGTAAGCTTTCTCAGGCATTTTAAGGGGACTGGGATCATTTGCAGGGACATAGCATTAGGTTAAAAGAGGTACAACTTAACGTAAACATGAAAAGTTATATATTTTTTTCCAATCCTTTGGTTTGAACTCAGAGTCTGGGCACTGTCCCTGAGCTTCTTTTGCTCAAGCCTAGCACTCTACCACTTGAGCCACAGTGCCACTTCCAGCTTATTCTGTTTATGTGGTACTGAGGAATGGAACCCAGGGCTTCATGAACTTTAGGAAAGTACTCTAAGCCACATCCCAGCCCCTCATTTTTATTTTTTATTATAAAGGTGATATACTATTACATAGGTAAAAAGTACATTTCTTCTTGGACAATGTCATTCCTTCCCTTGCTCTTTCCTAGTTTTCCCCTCCCATCCCCACTTATAAGTTGTGTAGTTCAACCTAGTGTCTAGTGAGTACCACTACTACATATGTCCCTCCATTTCTGGTATTTCCCCATTTGATTCCCACAAATTATATCATGATTTGTTTACCTGAAGTACTTTGCTAAAATTAAGAAGACTACCTACACACAGTTGGAATGTCTTTTGCTGACAAATCTGTTAAAAATAATGTAAAGAGTCTCCCTGGTTTTACAGTCAGTTCCTCTCTTTGCCCACCTATGTACCTTCTGGGAACCACTTACCCTTTGATACCCAGCTAAAGCTAACACCCTTTCTTTTTTCCCTCTACTTGTAGCCGTCACTTAGTTTGTACAACCAGTCCCCAGGTTAAGTATCTAATATTTGGTAAACAAATGTGATTATATTCCAGTTCAGAAATACATTTTTTAGTGTTAAGTTGGCTGTCTTATGTGCATAGGTGCAATATATATTTTGTTAATTGAATGAATTTTTATTTGTCCTCAGATGTCATTAAGAGGATCTACACCAGTGACAATTGTACCACTTCCGGGAGAGCAAGTACAGGTTCAGGGGGTCATCCAGAAAGCTCAGTCTTCTGTAATTCACCTACCACTCGTGCAAACGGTACAGAAATTCAAAGACAGTGGTTCAGAGTGGGGACTTTATACCTACCCTAAGCCATAGAAATAGACTCTAATAGAAAAGTTTTAGAATTTCATGTGTATAATACCCAGTGAAATAAAAATACAACTGGCAAGGCAGTGGTATTGCTTAGAATTTCAGGGAGTGAAACTTTTTTTTTTTTTTTTTTGGTGTGAGACAGGGTAACACTATGTAATCCAGGCTGTCCTCCAACTTGATGTAGCTAGCCTTAAACTGAATCTTCCTGCTTCAGTCTCCTAAGTGTTAGGATTATAGGTGTGCACCACCACACTCAGTTGAAAATGAAAGCTTAAGGAAAAGAACTCTTATCCCAGTGGTATCTTACATGAAAGGCTTTTTCTTTTGGGGTGGAGGGATTCATACTTCTATCTGTTACTTTCATCTTAACACTAGCAAGTCATTAAAGAGAAATACTTGGTCTTAGCTACAAGTAATCATTTAAGTTCATTGGGAGGATTTGGAGTAAATTGAGACAAACTGAAAGTAGCTAAAAGGTTAGATCAGAAATGGATTGTGTTTTTGTGTGTCTTTTGGTTTGGTGACACTAGGATGTGAACTCAGGCATCCTGCTTATTAGGTATTTTTTTCAGACACTGTTTGCTAGTTTTTCCAGGACAGCCAGATGGCTCTGTGGTTCTCTTCTCTTTTCCCTGTGGTTCCTCCTTAGTCTCATTTGATGCCTCTTAGAGTATTTCTTGGTTAAATCCTTCTCTGAATTTACCCCTTAGTGAGGTTGTTCAGTCTCATGGTTTTAAGACCTTCAAATAACATTGCCTTCCTGATTTATCTAGTACATTCAGCAGTCTCCTCAATATAAGCAACTGGCTATACAATAGGCTTTTCAAAGTCAGCGTGTCCCAAATCCAAATCAGCACTAGTGAATTACAAAACACTAAACAAGAAATCTTTAATTCATCAGTATAAATGAGAGGCTGTTCTTTTTAACTAGTAAAATGGTAGTTCTATTTGGGGATAAACTTTATTCTTAGCTTTGGGCTCCTGAAAGACACTTTTCCCTTTTTCCATTTGTTCTTTTAGATACAAAAGAATTTGAGTAGCAAGAAACAAATTTTCTTTGAATGTAAAAACTAAGTTCTTTTTCCATCTGTACTTTTCATCACATTAAAACCAGTTCTAATTTTTAGGTGTGTTTATCAGAAAGTGAGGAGTCTCAGGACTCATCTGACAGCATAGGCTCTTCACAGAAAGCTCACGGGATCCTAGCCCGGCGCCCATCTTACAGGTCAGTACCCCTGTATCAACCCTGCATGTGTCATATTACCAAATCTAAAGAGGGAGCATTCAGACATTAGAGTCAGATTATATAGGCTGAAGAATAAGACTTGTGTTTTAAATTACATATTTACTTTATTACATAGTTAACTGCAATAGCAGTGTAAGAAATAGAGACTATAAGAATTAGACTATGTGTTCCCTTTTTTTTTTTTTGGGTCCGGTCGTGGGGCCTGAACTCTGGGCCTGGGCACTGTCCCTCAGCTCTTCAGCTCAAGGCTAGCACTCTACCACTTGAGCCACAGCGCCACTTCCGGCTTTTTTCTTTTTGCTTATGTGGTGCTGAGGAATCGAACCCAGGGCCTCAGGCATGCAAGGCAAGCGCTCTACCACTGAGCCACCTTCCCAGCGCTATGTGTTCCCTTTCTTACTTCCTTTTGGGTTTTATTCTGTCCTCTGCCTGTTAATACCTTTTTCTGACTGGCTCAAAACAAAGTTTTTATGAGTATCACAGACTTTGCTGTCCTGGCTGCGTTTTCTTTTTTCCTCAGGCCTTGTAACTCTGATTGGCTTTTTTGCCCCAAGCTGGTGCTTTACTACTTGAGCCACCCTTTTCTGGGTAGCTCATTGGAAATAAGTCCCATGGACTTTTTTGCACTGGCTGGACTTGAACCAGGATCCTCAAATTTCAGTCTCCTGAGTAGCTAAGATTACAGGCATGAGTCACTAGCAGGACGAGTCCTCTTGAAATAAATGGAAAGAACTTTCCTGAGGAAGAGAAGATGATATATAGTAACCACACTGTATGGGTTCAATAAGAGAATGAGAGAGAAAAAGTTGTACTTGCACTAGGCACCTATGGCTCACACCTGTAATTCTAGCTACTCAGGAGTCTGAGATCTGAGGATTAAGGTTCAAAGCCAGCCCGGGCAGGAAAAGTCTGTGAGACTCTTTTCTTCAATAAACCACAGAAAACCAGAAATGGCACCGTGGCTTAAGTGGTAGAGCACTTGCCTTGAGCTGAAGAGCTGTGGGACAGCGCCCTAGCCAGAGTTCAAGCCCCATGACCAACCAAAAAAAAAAGTTGGGTTAGTTTTGTGTTAGTACTAGGGTTTCATTTCAGTGCCTGTGCTCTTACTCATCTTTTTTACTCACAGCTGGTACTGTACCACTTGAGCCACACTTCCAGTCTGGCATTTTGCTGTTTAATTGGTGATAATACCTTGTTTTTCCTGTCAGGCTGGCTTTGAGACTTGATCCTCAGATCTTAGACCCCCTGAGTAGCTAGGAATACAAGCATTAGCTACCAGCTAGTTGGTCTATTTTGAAAATTGATACCAGTTTGGGACAGACTAGAAAAATTAAGTTATTTCTTAGGGACTTTTGAGAAACTATCATTAAAGTCACAGAAAAAAAGGAAAAAAGTATATAATGTAGGGGAAATTCTTGAAGAAATAATGGCTGAAAAACAGTGAGTGAAAGGTATGAATCTACAGATTTGAAAAGCTCAGCCAACCCTACACAGGGATACCAAAGGAATCACTGCCCACAGGTAGTCTAATTTCTGATAAGTAAGTGACAAAACTTGCCAGATGTTGGTGGCTTAGGCCTCTAATCCTGGCTACTTGGGAGGCTGAAATCTGAAAAACTGTAAGTTAGTCAGGCTCAGAAAAGAAAAGCATGTTTTTTCATATGTAGTTGTTGGACCTAAAAAAATAAACATACACGCTGGTGCTGGTGGCTCACACATGTAATCCTAGCTACTCAGGAGGCTGAGATCTGAGGATCTCAGAAAAAAGAAATGGAAGTGAAGTATTTGTCATGAAGGAAAACAAATTCTTGCTATTTCATGTGCTGTGAAATAACTGCTAAGAAAGTTCTAAAGATAAACTAGAAAGATTAGGAATAAAGAAACAGTACCAGAAGAATGTAGGTATGTATAATGTACTAAGCTGAGAATGTGATATATACATGTGATTCTAGTACTAAGGAAGCTAAATAAAGCAGGAGGACCCACCATGAGCCCAAGAGCAACCCGGGCTACATAGGGAGACCTTGTCTCAAAACTGTGTGTAATTTCTGTATTTCGCTTAAAGTACTAAAGTAGTACTCCTAAGCAGACTGTGAAAGAAAGACAAAGGATATATTATAAATTCTGGAATTGCTTAAATGGAGTTCTGAAAAACTTTCAAATAATCTAAAAGACCAGGTGAACAAAAACAGAATAAATAAAGCTCGCTCGACACCAGTGGCGCATGCTTATAATCCTAGCTATTCAGGAGGCCCAGATCTGAGGATTGCAGTGTGACAGATCTGAGAGACTCTGGCTCAAGTGGTAGAGCACCAGCCTTGAGGGGAAAAAAAAGGATCAATGAGCCGAGTCAATATCTATAACCAGGGGCTGGGAAGGTAGCTCAGTGGTAGAGTGCTTGCCTTGTATGCATGAAGCTCTGGGTTCAATTCCTAAGCAACACATAGCAGAAAAGGCCCGAATTGGCACTGTGGCTCAAGCTGTAGAGCGCTAGCCTTGAGCTGAAGAGTTGAGGGACAGCACCCAGGCCCAGAGTTCAGGCCCCACAACTGACCCCCCCAAAAAAAAATCTATAACCATATTTAAAAGACATTGCTTAATTTAAGGCAGACTTTAGAGAGTTACATCCCAAATAACTGTAGACATAAAAATTCCCAACCAAGTATTAGTAGTAACAAGGTATTAAATACTATGACCAATTAAGATTGATCTCTGAAATGCAACTTAGATTGATTTAATAAACTAATGCAATAAATCATGTTAGATTAAAAACAACCTACAAACTCAAAAAAGCATTTGACAAAATCTATTGCCCTTTAATGATGAAAATGTTCAACAAATACAAGAGGGCCAGGCATGGTGGTACACAAAGTGAGGGCAGGCTTTCTCTCTCTGTGTGCTGGTATTAGGGCTTGAACTCAAGACCCTGGGTGCCATTACATAGCATTTTTGCTCAGGGCTACCCCTCTACCACTTTAGCTACAGCTTTTTTGAAAAGTCCTTAAAAGGTTATCTGCATACGGTGACATTGATCAAGATTCACTATATTCAAAACCTGAGTTACAGAATTATAACCTCTAACAAGTAAATGGCCTTATGAGAGAGAAAGTAATTTGCCTTGCTAGCAATTATCTTCAGTAGTGATCTGAAGTTGTTTCCCTTTAATATACATCTTGATTGCTAGAAATTTGATCTCCATTTCCAAATTAAAGGAATACAAAAGGATTTTTCTAAGTTATCTGCAAAAATCCACATCTAACACATCATACCTGATCGTGAAAACTTGTTATTTGTTCCTTAAGATTAGAAGTAACATAGGACTTAGGTGTCTGTCTTCTCACCTGTTCTGTTTAGCATTTTACTCAAAGAATTGGGTTGTTTTTGTTTTTGTTTCTTGGCCAGGCCTGTGCTTGAACTTAGGGCCTGGGCACTGTTTCTGAGCTTCTTTTGCTCAAGGCCTAGCACTCTATATTTTATATAAAGAGGCACATAGGGATTGTACCTTTGTGTTTCTCTCTTAAGAGTGTCCTCTTTTCCACACAGGATCTTTGGGATACATACTCAAACCATAATATAGAAGTGGCGCTGTGGCTCAAGAGGTAGAGCGCTTGCCTTGAGCTGAAGAGCACAGGGACAGCACCCAGGCCCAGAGTTCAAGCCCTATGACAAAACAAAAACAAAACCAAAAACTCAAACCATAATACAGAAAGAGAGGGAAAATCTTAAGGAATGCACCAAAATGTAAAAAAAAAAACAAAAAACCAGCAAGGTTGTGGGTTGTGAGATCAATATACAAAAATTAATAACATTTCCATAGAGTAGCTAGCAATATGCAATCCAACCAGGAAATTAGAGAGCAGTTCTATGGATGCTGATAGCTCATGCCTGTAATCCTAGGGAGGCCCAGATTGGGAGGAAAGCAGTGGAGGACCAGCCTGCATATACATGTGAAACCCCGTCTCAACCAGTAGCTGAGCATAATGGCATGTACCTGTCATTCCAGTTGTGTGGGATGTTGCAGTCAGAAGGATCCTTTGGTTCTAGAACAGACCAAGCAAGGGGGACAAAGTTTTGAGACTATCTCAACCAAAGAAACGGGACGTAGTGGTCTGTTATCCCATGTCCATAAAATTGGCAGATTATAGTCCAGTGTGGGCACAAAGCAAGACTATCTCAAAACAACCAGTACAAAAAAGGACGAGAAACATGGCTCAGTGGTAGAGCACTCAGACAGATAATCAGGTAATGGAAAGTGTTGCAGAAGTTGTTGAGAGTGAGGAGATACTATTAAGCAGAAAGAAAACAGTCTTTAAAGGCATTTAGAAAGGTGGGAGTAAAGAGCTAATAGAGATGAGACATTGGTTACCCCCATCTATCTCAGCCAATCAGGTCACTGCCTCTAACTTTTTTTGGGGGGGGGGTCCGGTCATGGGGCCTGAACTCTGGGCCTGGGCGCTGTCCCTCAGTTCTTCAGCTCAAGGCTAGCACTCTACCACTTGAGCCAGAGTGCCACTTCCGGTTTTTCTTTTTGCTTATGTGGTGCCAAGGAATCGAACCCAGGGTCCCATGCATGCAAGACAAGCGCTCTACCACTGAGCCACCTTCCCATCCCACCGCCTCTAACTTCTGCAAGGGAAGGAACAGTCAGGACATCAGCCATAACAAAGGATAAGGATCAGTGACTGAAAAGTGAAAAGTGAGGCTGCTCCAACCCCAGCTGAGCTATTAAAAACCATGGCCAAGGGCTGGGAAGGTGGCTCAGTGGTAGAGCGTTTGCCTTGCATGCCTGAGGCCCTGGGTTCGATTCCTCAGCACCACATACGCAAAAAGGAAAAAGCCGGAAGTGGCGCTGTGGCTCAAGTGGTAGAGCGCTAGCCTTGAGCTGAAGAGCTGAGGGACAGCGCTCAGGCCCAGAGTTCGGGCCCCTTACTAGACCCCCCCAAAAAAATTTGTGGATAAAAACCATGGCCTAGAGAGGATATGCTCAGTGCTAGATGATGTTTGTTTGTTTGTTTTGTCGGTTGTGGGGCCTGAACTCTGGGCCTGGATGCTGTCCCTCAGCTCTTCAGCTCAAGGCTAGCGCTATTCCACTTGAGCCACAGCACCACTTCCAGCTTTTTTCTGCTTATGTGGTTCTGAGGAATCTAATCCAGGACCTCATGCATGCAAGGCAAGCACTCTACCACTGAGCCACCTTCCCAGCTCTGACTACAAGTTTTATTATTACTGAAGTCTTCAGTTATAACTGGATTTGTAACTGGCCACAAGTGGCTCTTGGAGCTGAGATTTTTGAGGGTCATGGTTCAAAGCACAGGCAAGACAAATCTGATTTATGGCTTATATTTTTGCACAAAATCTTACTGCAGCCTAGCCAGGAACTTGAGCCAAGCTAACCTTGAAGTTGTGATTGTTCCTGCCTCAGACTCCGGAATGAGGATTACAGGAGTGTACCATCACACCCAGTTTATGCAGATAGTTAAAGGAGTCAATCCTCTCCAGATGATTTTTTTTTGGGGGTGGGTGGGTGTCCGGTCGTGGGGCCTGAACTCTGGGCCTGGTCGCTGTCCCTCAGCTCTTCAGGTCAAGGCTAGCACTCCAGCACTTGAGCCACAGCGCCACTTCCAGCTTTTTTCTTTTTGCTTATGTGGTGCTGAGGAATCAAATCCGGGGCCTCATGCATGCAAGGCAAGCACTCTACCACTGAGCCACCTTCCCAGCCCTCCAGATGATTTTGATATGTACTCATACACACTTTGCCCAAAAATAGTCCTATAGCCTGTCACCTCCATTGTTGTCTTTGAAGAACTTCTTTTAACGCAGTCTGTATATTAGCTCTTCTTTTTTTTTTTTTTTTGTCGGTTGTAGGGCTTGAACTCGGGGCTTGGGCGCTGTCCCTGCACTCTTCAGCTCAAGGCAAGCGCTCTACTGCTTGAGCCACAGCACCACTTCTGATTTTCTAGTGGTTTATTGGAGATAAGAGTTTCACGAACTTTCTTGCCCAGACTGGCTTTGAACCACGATCCTCAGATCTCAGCCTCCTGAGTAGCTAGGGTTATAGGCATGAGCCACTGGCACCTGACTGCATATTAGATCTTAGTAGAGAAAGGAGAGGAAGCTGGAGAAAGAGATCCAAATGTATTTTCGGGGTGGAGGTGGGGGGAATGACCAAAAGCATATGGTCTAGAATAGAAGGTCTGTTGCAGTAATCAAATATTGCAAAGTGGGGAATGGATACATTATTGGAGGCTTAAACTTCTCCAGGTTCACTGGGTGGATATACTTTTAAGTATAAATGAAGAGAGCTCTTATTGTTCACAGAACACTTTTGTCAGTGGTAGGTGCTTGTTTCTGGAAGTGGAAGTTATGAGTAGTAGTAGAAGGGGGAGTTCCTCTGTGGGCTGCCACGTTAGCAGAGATAACGTGAAAGGCCCTTTTTGTCTTTTGGAAGATCTTCACTTTTAGTAAAAAATACTTTCCAATCTCTGTTTTTTTAATTGTAAAGATACTGTATAGAGGGGTTACAGTTAAATGAGGAAAGTAATGATTACATTTCCTATCTAGCATTGTTAGACCCCCCTCCTTTGTTTTCCAATCTCTGTTCTTGTCATGAGTCCTGTTTCACTAAGTTGAGTGATACCTACGGCATATTTGCCTTTTTATATTAGAATAATCGGTTTTACTTACTATGGCTTGAGGCTGGGAATGTGGCTCAGTGGTAGAGGGCTTGCCTAGCATTCATGAAGCCCAGGGTTTGATTCCCTCAGTACCACATAAACAGAAAAGGCTGGAAGTGGTACTATGGCTTAAGTGGTAGAGCACTAGCTTTGAGCAAAAAAAAGAAACTCAGGGCTTGGGCACTGTCCTTGAGTTTTGTGTTCAAGGCTAATGTTCTACCACTTGAGTCATAGCTCTACTTTTGGCCTTTTGGTTATTAATTAGAGATAAGAGTCTTGATGGTTTGTTTGCCCAGCCTAGCTTCAACCTTCAGTCCTCAGATCTCAGCCACCAGTGCCCAATCTTCCTCTCTCTTTTTTTTGTTGCTGGTCATGGGGCCTGAACTCTGGGCCTGGGCGCTGTCCCTCAGCTCTTCAGCTCAAAGGCTAGCTCTTTACCACTTGAGCCACAGTACCACTTCCAGCTTTTTCTGCTTATGTGGTGCTGAGGAATCGAACCCAGGGCCTCATGCATGCAAGGCAAGCACTCTTACCACTGAGCCACCTTCCCAGCCCTTTCTCTCTTCTTTTCCCTCTCCCCCTCTTCTCTTTCTCATGGCATCACTAAGGCTCAAACTCAAGAGTCTCACGCTCTTGCTCATTTTTGGCTCTTGGCTGCTCTTCTACTACTTAAGCCACACCTCCAGTACAACATTTTGCTGGTTAGTTGGAGGTAAGATTCTCACATATTTGTCTGCCTGAGCTGGCTCTGAACCTCAGGTCACAGACCTCAGCCTTCTGCATAGTGAAACTTATTTCTAATCTTTCTAAAAATCATGGATTCTTCTTTCATTATATGGAGTTGGAGATTGGAAAAAACAAAATGGGTCATGTGTATATGTTGATACTAGAGCTTAAAGTTTGGGCCTCAACTTCTTGCTTAGGTTTCTTGCCTAGCTGTTGCTCTACTGGAGCTGCACCTCCACTCTGGCATTTCCCTGGTTAATTGGAGATGAAGTCTCACAAACTTTTCTGCCAGGGCTGGCTTTGAACCTTGAGCCTCAAATCTCAGCCTCTTAATTAGTTAGTATTCCCAGGTGTGCAATCCTAGCTACTTTTGCAAAACAGGTTTTTTTAAGTCACTGATACTGTTTAGATAGTGAATAGTACCTTGTAATTATGAAGTACCTCACAATGGAATCATCTCTCTTACAATGGAAAGAAATTTATAACTTTACAAAGGAAGCTGTGGATGTAGCTCAATTGAATACTTATTTAACATGTGCATGACCCTAGGTTCAACAGAAAAACAACAACAAACTTGAGGTCTGACACAACTCTACAAGGTTCTTGTGCCTAGGAAAATACTTTTGTACCCAGTGTATGACTGTCTCTTTTCCATACAGTCATAATCTAAAATTTAACTGTCCTAGATCACAGCATGTAATAATATATGCTAAACAGTATTCCCTTGACACAATAGTTTAGGTATCTGGTGGATTACTTTTTGTTTTTGAAGAAAAGTCTATGTTGCCCAGTCTCATTTTGAATTCCTGGACTTAAGCCATCCTACTGTCTCAACCTCAAGAGTAGCTAGAACTAAAGAGTGCAACCACTCTGCCTGGCTAATTATACTTTTAAACTTTGATTTAAAATAGATCTGTAGGGCTGGGAAGGTGGCTCAGTAGTAGAGTGCTTGCCTTGCATGCATGAGGCCCTGGATTCAATTCCTCAGCACCACATAAGCAGAAAAAGCTGAAAGTGGTACTGTGGCTCAAGTGGTAAAGAGCTAGCCTTTGAGCTGAGGAACAGCACCCAGGCCCAGAGTTCAGGCCCCATGACCAGAAAAAAAAAAGAGTAGACCTGTAATCCTAGCACTTGGGAGACTGAGGCAGAAGGATCATGAGTTCAAGACCAGCTTCAGCATGACCTTATGTCTAGGAATGGAAGAGAGAGAGAAAGGGAGGGAGAGGGCAAGAGAGAAGAAAATCTTAGCAATTTCTTTGTGTAAAGCCATTCTCATTATCAATATTAATGAGTTTCATCTTTTACAGAAAAATTTTGAAAGACCTCTCTTCAGAAGATACACGTAGTAGAAAAGGAGAAAATCCTGGCGTTTCTGCTGTCACATCTATGTCTGTTCCAACTTCCATCTATCAAACTAGCAGCGGACAATACAGTATGTATAGTTTGTTCATGTGTAGAAACTGTCACTGATGGGAAATGGAGGCTTACAGATAATGTTCCTACAGTCACACATCCTGTAGGTTAGAGAGCCAGAGTTCAGTTATTTTTTTGGTGTCACACCTGGTGCTTAAACTCAGGGCCTACGTAATGTCACTGAGCTGCTTTTGCTCAAGGCTAGCATTTTATTTACCACTTGAGCAGCAGTTCTACTTCTGGCTTTTTGGTGGTTAATTGGAGATAAGAGGGTCACCAGTTTCCTGCTCTGGCTGGCTTCCAACTAATCTTCAGGTCTCAGACTCCTGAACAGCTAGAACTACAGGTGTGAGCACTGGCACCTTTTTTTCCTCTTAAATATATCATTAGCCTTTTGTTCTAACATGGAAAATATACACAAGAAAGAAAAAGTTGAGAAATCCTAATCACAATACTAATTTTAGTCTTCTGGGAAATAAAGATAAACTAGTTCCTATTAAAAATGAATCATTAATCAAATCAAGTTTTTTTTCTAAAAGTATAAATTTATATTTTCATCTCATAAACAAGTATGTTTTACTGAAATTACAGAGTATAACTTTTGTTTTCTCCCCTTTTTTTTGGTCTGAGACTGGGACTGAAACTCAGTATCTGACACTTTCACTGATTGGCTGGTGATTTACAATCTGAACCACGCCTCTTAACCCTTTTGGTGGGGGGGCTTACCGTACTAAGGCTAGGGCTTGAACTCTGGCCTCCAATTCTTTTTTTTTGTCGGTCGTGGGGCTTGAACTCTGGGCCTGGGCGCTGTCCCTCAGCTCTTCAGCTCAAGGCAAGCGCTCTACCACTTGAGCTACAGCGCCACTTCCCTGGCCTCCAATTCTTGCTTAGACTGTCATTCTACCACTTGAGCCATTCCTCCAATTACTCTTCACTTTTGAATTGTTCACTTAGTTTTGAATCTAGAAAGGGGCTTTTCCTTCAAACTACAGTACCTCTTACAGAATGCTCTTTTGGCAATAACCAGTTAGGTCCATGACCCTAATTCCAGTGGAAATTTTATGTGGGTTAGTTAAAAAAATATTAAACGGGAACAATTGAATTTGAAGTTTAAGGAAATTTGAATCAGAAAGAGAATTCAGACTTGGGTAATGTGATTTATAGTTTGCCTGCCATGAATAATCAAGGGCTAGTCAAGTTTATAAATAAACCTCTATCTAAAAATGTTGACATAGGGCTGGGAAGATGGCTCAGTGGTAGAACGCTTGCCTTGCATGCCAGAGGTCCTGGGTTCGATTCCTCAGCACCACATAAGCAAAAAGAAAAAAGCCAGAAGTGGCGCTGTGGCTCAAGTGTTAGAGCGCTAGCCTTGAGCTGAAGAGCTGAGGGAGAGTGCCCAGGCCCAGAGTTCAGGCCCCACGCCAGACCCACCAAAAAAAAAAAAAAACAAAATAAAAATGTTGACATAGAGATTAGTCAGTACCTACAACAAAGTGAGCATCCACTGGTGTAAAAATCCCATCAAGGGCTGGGAATGTAGCTTAGTGGTAGAGTGCTTGCCTTGCAAGCATGAAGGCCTGGGTTTGATTCCTCAGTTCCACATAAACAGAAAAGGCCAGAAGGGATGCTGTGGCTCAAGTGGTAGAGTGTAGCCTTGAGCAAAAGAAGCACAGGGACAGTGCCCATGCCCCGAGTTCAAGCCCCAGGACTGGCAACAATAAGAACAACAACAAAAATCCCAGCCAGAGCTAGTGGCTCACACCTATAATCCTAGCTACTTGGAAGTCAGTTCCAAGAATTGTGGTTTGAAGCCAGCCCAGATGGGAAAAAAAAGGAAAAATCTAATCTCAACTTGGGACTAGCTAAAGAGCTAAAGGGTACAAGTGTGATCCTTGCCCTTTGAGAGCAAAGCAATAGGACAGAGAGAATAGTAGAAAACAAAATGCCTGTCTAATGTTAATAGACAGGTTATAGATTAGTTGCTTATACCTTGAAACAGTTTTTTTGTTGGTGGGAGGGTTGCCTATAATCTGTTTTATAAAATGACATTTGAAGCTAGGTGAGGTGTAGCTCACGCCTGTAATCCTAGCTACTCAGAGGCTGAGATCTGAGGATGGCGGTTCAAAGGCAGTTCGGGCAGGAAAGTCCACTAGAAAACAAGAAGTGGTGCTGTGGCTCAAGCAGTAGAGCACTCATTTTGAGTTGAAGAGCACAGGGACAGCACCCAGGCCCAGAGTTCAAGCCTCACAGCCAAAAAAAAAAAAAATGACATTTGACAAAGACATAACAAACTAGCCCTTTGTATATTAAAATCAAATTTTTAGTTTTTAACATTCTTAGGAAAAATTTCAAACATAATACACAGTTGGACAAGAAACATACCCACTCAAGCACATATATGTACTTTTTCAAGCTTCTTTCCTTTTATGGAATTGAAAGACTTTCCCAGGTTTTTCTTTTGGGATTATTTTTGCTTTCATTTCTAGCTTTTTAAGCCTTTTCACTCATCTTAAATTTATCTTAGTATGGAGTTGGGAAATCCAACTGTTTTTTAGTTTCCTACCCAATTTATGGTAGTAATACAATTTGCATATTTCAATGTTTCTAACTCACTAAAATAGAATTTTAGCACAGGATGAAAGCAGTAGTTAATACATATCTGTAGTTCTATATATAATTGCTATATTAAAATTTTTTTCAGAATTTTCCTGGCTATTCCTTCTAAAATATTGATGCATACACACTAAAATTTACTTTTGACAAATGTGTGACTATAACCAGGTAAATGTACACGCTAAACAAGATAGAACGATAGGTTGCAAAAAAAATTGTTATTTTTTTTTCACATATTTAACATCAAAACATGCATTTACAAATCCACATATTTTGATACATACTTTTCAATCTATGTGAACATAAGAAAAAATTGGGAAATGTGTACCAAAAATAATGGCTGCCACTGGGCACTAGTGGCTCATGCCTGTAATCCTTGTTACTCAGGAGGCTGAGATGTGAGGATTGCAATTCAAAGCCAGCCAGGAAAGTCTGTGAGACTCTTATCTCCAATTAACCACCAGAAAACGAAGTGGCACTGTGGCTCAAGTGATAGAGTGCTTGCCTTGAGCTATGGAAGGTGGTCACCTCTATCCTTGAAGCAAATAAATAGGGCTTGATAAATGAAACTTAATGTTTATACTTTTACAAATGAATGTGTGTATAATGTATATCACAGAAAAAAACCAAATTGCAAATATAAGTTCTAAACAAATCACTGCATCTGTATACGTGTGTGTACACTACTAAGGTTAACTCAGGTTCTCTACCACCTGAGCCATTAGTTCTAGGCTTGAAGGGTTTAAAAAAAAATTTTTTTTTTGGTCGTGGGGCTTGAACTCAGGGCTTAGGCACTGTCCCTAAACACATGTCATTTTCTTTCTTGCAGTTCATTTACTTTCTTGTAGTCAATTGAGCTTAAAAGTAGAACTGCATTCAGACCTATTTTTTGTTTTGACAGATGCACAAGTTCCGTTATTTGTTTTGAATCAAAATTGGCTCTATAGTACTTTTGTGTTCAAAGTCTTTTTAGGTTTTTTTTTTTTTTAGTTTTACAAAGGGGCTTCAAGAAGTCATGCACAATGTATCTTGATCAATGTTGTTATCCCTTCTATCATTCTCCCCTATCTGACTTATTTTTAGAAATAATGTTTAGCTGGGCATGGTAGCACATGCCTATAACCCCAAATATAGAGGTGGAGACAGGATTATGAATTTAGGCCAACCCAGTCAAGGTTAGCAAGTCTCTGTCTCAAAAACAAAAGGGCTCAGGCAGGGTTTAGGGTAGCTCAAGTTATAGAGAATATCAATAGCAAACATGAGTTTAAAAGTTTGGGTTTTTTTTTAAAACCCCAACTTTGCATTGATATATTACATAGCTTTACAATTTCTATTTTCTTTCTCTGGTTAAAGTTGCCATTGCCCCAAACGGAGCCTTACAGCTGGCCAGTCCAGGCACAGATGGAGTACAGGGCCTGCAGACACTAACCATGACAAATTCAGGAAGTGGTGCTCAGCAAGGTACTATTCTCCAGTATGCACAGACCTCTGATGGACAGCAAATCCTTGTGCCTAGCAACCAGGTGGTTGTACAAAGTAAGTGTGCTTAACTCTCCATACAAAGTATCGCAAAATACTTTAAAAGATATTTTTCAAGTAACTCACTGTCTTGATTACACAGCTGCATCAGGAGATATGCAGACATATCAGATCCGAACCACACCTTCAGCTACTTCGCTGCCACAAACTGTGGTGATGACGTCTCCAGTGACGCTTACATCTCAGACATCTAAGACAGATGACCCTCAGTTGAAGAGAGAAATAAGATTGATGAAAAATAGGTGGGTAGTAGAATTATACCATCAGAACAGGTCATGCTTTCACAAGTCTGAACACATGACCAGGTATTACTTGGACCCATATCATCAGAAATCAGGAAAAAGTTTATAGCAGCTTTATTTTAGTTTATTTCTAGTTCATTCCTAATTACTTGTGAGTCTTACTGGTCAGTCTATTTATTTATTTATTTATTTTTATTTTTATTTTTTTTTGTCGGTCGTGGGACTTGAACTCTGGGCCTGGGCGCTGTCCCTCAGCTTTTCAGCTCAAGGCGAGCGCTCTTACCACTTGAGCTACAGCGCCACTTCCGGTTTTCTGGTGGTTTATTGGAGATAAGAGTCTCAGGTTCTCTCCTGCCCGGGCTGGCTTTGAACCACGATCCTCAGATCTCAGCCTCCTGAGTAGCTATGGTCAGTCTATTTCGTAGGGTATTAAGACCCACAGTTCAAAAGCCCGGCGCTGGTGGCTCACACCTGTAATCCTAGCTACTCTGGAGGCTGAGATCTGAGGATCGAGGTTCAAAGCCAGCCCGGGCAGGAAAGACCATGAGATTCCTATCTCCAATAAACCACTAGGAAACTAGAAGTGGTGCTGTAGCTCAAGCGGTAGAGTGCTTGCCTTGAGCTGAAGAGCTGAGGGACAGCGCCCAGGCCCAGAGTTCAAGCCCCATAACCAATAAAAAAATAAAAGACCCACAGTTCATCTTTATGTTTATATATTTATATATATATATATACACATATATATATATACATATATATGAAATTTTGTTATTAAGGCGTACTGAGGGTTTACCATTCCATGTCAGGTAATGAGTATCTTGCTTTTTTTTTTTTTTTTTGTACCGCTTGAGCTACAGCGCCACTCCTGTGAGTACAATTCTTTTTGGACAATGTCATCCCTTTACTTTCCCAGTTCTTCAGCTTTTTTTTCTTTTGGTCTTAGAGCTTGAACTCAGAGCCTGGGCATTGTCCATGAGCTTCTTTTTGCTTAGGGCTAGTGTTCTACCACTTGAGCCACAGCTCCACTAACATTTTTTCCCTTGATTCTTAGCCTCCTGAGTAGCAGGATTATAGGCATGAACCACCAGTGCCCATCATTTCTTCAATTTTTATTGTATCCTTTACAATAACATTGCTAAACAAATCTTTTCAAACACTACTTTGTTGTTGTTGGGCTCGGAGTTAAATGAAGTTTTAATATATCATGGATCTGAGTCCATACCACTGAGATATGACAAATGTTACATACAATAGAAGCGAGTCACGCAAAGTACTATGTCTAAAACATTTATGGGAAAAATGCAACAATCTCTGATTCTCTAGCAAGTCATAGCTTCTTTCCTGAAAGAAGGTCCTGCTGGATGCTGGTGGCTGCTCACTGATCAAGGTGATTACTGAAAGTTGGAGTCACTGTGGCAGTTACTAAAACTAAGACAACAGTAAAGTTTGCCACACTAAATGACTCTGTTTTACAGGGCTTTTAACATACAGTGCAGTTTGATAACATTTATCCTGGGTAGAACGTTTTTTCAGAATTTGAGTCAATCCTTTCAGACCTTGCCTCTGCTTTATCTGTAATAAATTTGTTAGCATTGCAGCACTGTTCACACCATCTTCACCAGGAGTAGATTTCATCTTGAGAAGCCACTTTCCCCACCACGCCCCCCCCCAAAAAAGAAAAAGTTTACTTTGTTTAGAATGATCCCCACTTCTGCAACCCCTGGGAGGAAAAGCACTTAATTAACCCAGACTCCAACAAATTTACATACTGCTTAGTAAGTGATAAGGATACAGTTTAAATGTAGGGGCCCAGCAGGGGATTGTGGTACAAATTCATAAGTGCCTGGAGACTAAGACAGACATGAGTTCAAGTGCAGCAGTTAGACCTTGTCTCAAAAATCCCAAAAATGAACTCAAGGCTTCAGACTTAAAACAAATTTATTACCTGGGGCTCTATCTAGCTCAGTGGTAAATTAATGCTTTACTATCACGCAGAAAGCCTTATTTGATCCCTAGCAGTGAAAAAAAAAAATCCTGAATACTTAATGTAGAAACATGGATGGGACAACATATAAAAACATATAATATATAGTATAAAACTGTGTGCTTCTGGTTCAAGCCTGTAATCCTAGCTGGTCAGGAGGCTGAGAGCTGGAGGATTTCCAGTCAACTGAGGCAGAATATTCAGAATAACCAGCAAAAAGTAGGGTTTAGCAATATAGCTTAAGTGGTGAAGGGCTAGTCAAGCACAGATTCCCTGAGTTCAAACCACAGTATCACCAAAAATCAAACAAAACCCAAAATATGTAATATTTATTGTGACTTTACAGAATTGTTCTAAGAAACCATGCAAAGAGCTGAACATTTGCTGAAGGACTATTTGTAATTCAGACTTAAGGCTATTTGTCAAAGCTTAACAAGAGATTTATGAATTTCACTTTGGTATTTATTCAAGAGAAATAAAATAATGTTTACACATAGATTGCTTAAGAACAAGCATAGTACCTAACTAGAAACAATTGAAGAGAATGAAAAAACAAACTCAATTATATCCTTGCAATGCAGTATGTCAAGAAATGTAAAGAAATAAGCCAGAATGTCAAAAATATGATAAGACAGGTGCATAGTGTCACACCTGTAATCCCAACACTTGGAAGACTGAAGCTGGAGATCTAGAAGCCAACCTGGCTACGTCTATATAGCAAGAACCTGTCTACAAGAACACACAGAGTAATACTGAATGACACTGTTACATGAAGTTCTAAGACATGAAAAACTTAGCCCCCAATATTAGAACTGATCCAGGTGCCAGTGTCTGATGCCTGTCATCCTAGCTACTCAGGAGGCTGAAATCAGGATCAAGTTCAAAGCCAGCCCAGGCAGAAACGTCTGTGAGACTCATCTCCAATTAGCCAACAGGAAACAGGAAATAGAGCTGTGGCTCAAAGTGGTGGAGCTCTAGCCTTGAGCAAAAGAGCTCAGGGACACTATACCTAAGATCTAATAAATGATACCTTAATTTTGTAAATAAAGAGTATAAATAACCAGGAAAAATTATTGAAATATGGGAAGGTGGCTCAGTGGTAGAGCGCTTGCCTTGCATGCATGAGGCCCTGGGCTCGATTCCTCAGCACCACATAAGCAAAAAGAAAAAAGCCAGAAGTGGCGCTGTGGCTCAAGTGGTAGAGCGCTAACCTTGAGCTGAAAGCTGAGGAACAGCG